ACATAGTAAAATAACTGTGATACGTGCTCAAAGAAAATAAAAGAGTAATGTGATAGAGAGTGATGGGGGTAAGGGATCCTTGTAAATTTCATGGAAGCAGGGACCATTCTCTTGTTTTTTTCCCCCCCGCTGCGTCTCTAACACAAAGCCGTGTGTGCATTCAATCAGTATTTAGTAAGTGAATTATTAAGGTGGGCAAATTTGTAAATTAAACGTTTTTATTACAAAAGTACTGTGTGTTCACGGAAGAAAAATGAGCAGGACAGCAAAACAAAATGAATAAACAAATCCTTAGTAATCCCACTGCTCGGAGATAACAATATGCTTTCATGTAGGAGATGGCAAGAACTTAGGAAGAGGTTCTGTTTCTGGCCAAGGGAGTGGGGAAAAGTTCTTTCCCCTCAATCCACCAGGGACCTAGGCTGCCCTTTTATGGCTGTAGGGGATTTACAAGGTATTATCAGCGGGTGTCTACCCTCATCTGTGGTCAAGGAAGGTCTCCCTTCCTAAGGAAGTGAGCTTTAGGCTGAGAAGGAATTAATTGTGCAAGAAAACAGGGAAGTTCCACACTGAGAGAGTGTGGTGTCTTCATTTAGAGCCCCTGGCTCGAGGGTAGGGAGGGGGCAGGAAGCAGGATGAGATCAGCCTGGGGAGGTTGGCAGCGGCCACATTAAAAGGGACTTGTCATCTGGATCTAACTGCCAGATTATAGAACTAAAGGATATAGATGAACAGATTAAAAAAACACCCAGGGGAAATAATCAGCCAGATCCAGAATGAGGAACATTCTACAGCACAAGTGATTTAGTTTCTCATTGAATCAGTGGACTGAAAATAAAAAAGGGAAGGAGGTCTGTTATAGAAAAAAACAAAAAAACTTAAGAGAGATAACCGAAAGCCATGTGTAGATCTTATTCATTTCTTGATTGTAACAAACCAACTGTAAAAGCCATTTCTGAGATAATTCAAGATATTTGAGGGCTTCCCTGGTGGCGCAGTGGTTGAGAGTCTGCCTGCCGATGCAGGGGACGCGGATTCGTGCCCCGGTCCGGGAAGATCCCACATGCCGTGGAGCGGCTAGGCCCGTGAGCCGTGGCCGCTGAGCCTGCGTGTCCGGAGCCTGTGCTCCGCAACGGGAGAGGCCACAACAGTGAGAGGCCCGCATACCGCAAAAAAAAAAAGAAAAAGAAAAAGAAATTTGAATGTGAACTGGGTATTATGATAAGATATTAAAGAACAATTGTTACTTTTATTGGGTATGATAATAGCATGGTTGTTACATTTTTTAAAAGCCTTTATTAGTTATAGATGCATATAGGTGAGCTAACTGATGTCTGGGGTGTGCCTTAAAACACTCTGGGAAACAGCTGGGGTCGTGTGATATTGTGATGTAAGAAATACATATTTTGGTCTTCATCCCAGGTTCTTGGCTCAAAAGTGTGGAAAACCCTTGGAATTTCCTGAGTGATAAGAGGTGAGAGGAGTGTCTTTTGTTATACTTAACAGGCCCCTTTGACTATACCTGAGTTTATGCTAATGAGGTGACTTTTGGTGGGTCCTGGATAGCTTTAGGATTATTCCTCAGGAATAACCTCCTGTGTGTCTGGTTGGCATACAGCCATCTATGATTGTTTAATAGTGAACTGTGGGGTCCTGTATCAACCCAAACATGCTGTTCTATCCTGAGCACTTATAAACAAAGATACTGCCCCTAAATTAGTCACTCTCACAACCCATTTTAGTAAAGGTCCTTCAGGAAGCTGATGATACCAATCTACAAAATGAAGCAACTCCTTTACAACTATATTCCTGGTTTCAGTAGATCCTTGGTTTTTGCCTTCCCCCCAAGGCTGACTAGAGGCCTTAGAGGTACTTTCTGTTGTCCCAGCCTAATTATTTACTGGATAGCTTTGAGGCTAGTGGCCAAAACTCAGACTGACTCAAACCCGAGCTTAGTCTAGCACCAAAGTCCAAACCAGAACTCTTTTAAAATTTCATTTTAGCTATTACAAATAATCACCAAGGGATTGTATATTTCACTTTTTTTCTTATTGGTTTGCATTTCCTTATGCATCTAGTGAAACAACTTCCTGGGAGTTGAATCCAACTTTAAATTCCATTTGTTACTTTTACCTTTAGTAACAGTGCAGCACAGCTGCTGCTCCATGCCATGGGTGACCACATGGCCACCCAGGAATCAAAGGCTCTGCATCTCTCATCTTTTTATCCTTTCTCCTCTCAAACCACATATTTCTGTGAGCTAGGGCCAGTCTAGCAAATCTCACTTCTGACACCAACTATTAGCTGTTTTTACTAATAGCACCTTTGACACCAAATAGGTGTTTTGTTCTTGTTTGTTCTCTCACACCAACCAATTCTCCAACTACCCTGACACCGACTGGGTGTCCTACAATTCAATCAATTCTTTTTTTTTTTTTTTAAACAGGGTATGTATGTATGTATTTATTTATTTTGGCTGTGTTGGGTCTTTGTTGCTGCACACAGGCTTTCTCTAGTTGTGGTGAGCAGGGGCTACTCTTCATTGCAGTGCTTGGGCTTCTCATTGCAGTGGCTTCTCTTTTTGCCATACCATGGGCTCTAGGCACGTGGGCTTCAATAGTTGCAGTACACGGGCTCAGTTGTTGCAGCACATGGGCTCTAGAGCACAGGCTCAGTAGTTGTGGTGCACAGGCTTAGTTGCTCGATGGCATGTGGGATCTTCCCAGACCAGGGATTGAACCTGTGTCCCCTGCATTGGCAGGCAGATTCTTTACCACTGCGCCACCAGGGAAGTCCCAATTCAATCACTTCAGACACGAAATACCCAGAGTGAGCACAGACTGCCACAGGTTAAGGGCTCAGTCCTAAAAGACTGCCCCCACTTCAGATGCTAACTGCAAGCCCTGGGCCCTCTGACCAACTGACTATAAACTGAGGCTTCCTGTGATCTCCTTCTCAGGTTCAATAATTTGCTAAAATGGCTCACAGAACTCGGGAAAACAGTTTACTAATTATTACTGGTTTGTTGTAAAGGAACTGCAAAATAGAAAAGAGGTATAGGGCAAGGTGTGGTGAGGGAAGAGGGGGTAGCCTGGAGCTTCCATGTTCTCTCCAGGTGTGCCAGCCTCAGTACCTCAGTGTGTTCATTAACCCAGAAGCTCTCTGAACCCCATCGTTTAGGGATTTTTTAATGCAGGTTGCTTGGTGATTAGCTTTATCTCCAGCCCCGCTCCTCTCCCTTGGAGAGCAAGGGGTGGGGCTGAACGTTTCAGCCCTCTCATCACGCGGTTGGTTCCTCTAGTATCTAACTTCCATCCTGAAGTTAAATAAGGGCCCACCTAGAGTTACCTTATTAAACTCAGGTATGGTTGAAAGCGGCTTATTATGAATAACAAAAGATGCTCCTCTCACCTCTGTCACTCAGATTATAGAAGCTCTTGTGCCAGAAATGGGGCACGCAGGCCAAATATATATTTCTTATATTATCACATTATCACAGGGAGTAATAATAACATTTGAAAAATGTTGATAATTGTTGAAGCTGGGTGATGGGCACATAGAGATTCATTATGCTGAATCTTCTGGGCTTTTGTGTATATTTGGAAACTTTGATAATAAGATAGTTATAATAAAAGAGGATGACAGAAAGAGAAGCAACTTACAAGCCATACTAAAGAGTCTGAAATTTTAAACTTTTTTTTTGAAATAATTTTAGATTTATAGGTGGGGTGCAAAGACAGTAGAGTGTTCCCAAATACTCCTCACACATCCTCCTTATCACTTTTTCTATAACCACAGCATGTTTATCAAAACTAAGAAATTAACATTGATACAATACCATTAGCTAAACTGAAAACTTTATTTGAATTTCTCCAGTTTTTCCATTAATTTTTTTTTTCTGTTCCAGGGTCCAAACCAGGATACTGCATCGTATTTAGTTGTCATGTCTCCTTAGTCTCTTCCAATCTGTCACCGTTTCTTGGTCTTTCTTTGCTTTTCGTGACTTTGATACTTTTGAAGAATAGCAGTCAGGGGTTTTGTAGACTGTCCCACAGTTTGGTTTTGTCTGGTGTGTTCTCATGATTAGTCTAAAGTTATGGATTTGGGGGAAGAATACTACAGAGGGGATGTGGCCTTATTGCATCATGTCAGGGAGCATGACTTCTTATTAGTCAACATGACTTCTTATTTCTTGTAAACCTAGTCACTTGGTGCAGGTGGTGTCTGCCAGGTTTCTCCACTATTTTTCCCTTTCTATACTTTGTGATGAGAGTCATTAAGCCCGGCCCACACTCACAGGGATTTTAAAAGTAGAGGAAAGTCATTGAAGGGATTTAAGCAGGGAGTAATGTTTCGAATGTCTGTTTTGGAAGGAACACGAGATATGGTGGCATTTGCAGTGGGACTGGACATAAACTGCTGGATGTTGAGTGACCAGCAGCCTGACTCAGCTGGAGCTGGTTCTTTATGGGACGTGAAGGATGAGAGAAGGTGGAGTCAGGGATGGCCATGAAATTTCTAACTTGGACAGTTGGATGGCTGGGGTCTTTCACTGACTCTAAACCAAGGTTGTGAGTGCCCCTAGGAGGTTGCATGCCTCCCCTGCCCCCGCCCTCGCCCCCTCTCCCCCCCAGAGAGAAGCCACTTTCTGTTTCTCGGTCTTGCTTGACTCGGATCCGGTCCCTGCCTGTTACTGAGGCCGGAAAATGCCTTGTCAACACATTAGAAGTTTGGGATTACCCAGAAGGGCAGAATCCCAAGTAAGAGAGGGGACAGATTTCGAGGAACTGAAGAAAGATGGAAGAAAATGTCATTCGTAAATCCTTTAATCCTCTTTCCATTTAAGGACCCAGTTATGAGCGTTTGACTCGGTGGTTTCAAACAAGTAATTTTAATTACCTTTTCGTGTTCCGCCAACTGGCCTCCCCCTCGGCCTCGCCTGTTTCGTGTTCCTTTCTGAGGCGTGTTAGGGGAGGGGGTGGACTTCTACCTCTACGCCCTCACCTCCGCCGGCGGGCCCCCCGCCCAGGTTTCTTTTCTCCTCGGCGCCTACGGGCGGGGGCGGAAGGAGCGGTAGGAGGTGCGGCGCGAGGCGCGGGCCCTGGCGCCGGGCGGGCCCAGCTCCCTGGCGGAGGCTTGTAGACCAGGTGGAAGATGAAGGCGTTGCAGTACCTGAGGGGGGCGTGGCGCCATCAGGGGCGGTGCCAAGAGGCCGGGATTTTCCCAAGGGGCGGAGTTTGTGGGCTCCGAGTTTCAGGGGGTGGGGTTAAACTTAGGTCTCTGCCAACCCGAGCGTAACCTGGCTTTCTTTTGCTGAGGGGTTGGGGCCGGG